CAAAATGTGGGCGCCGGGTAATGACATCATATAGCAATGTCTGGCTTTCTCTTTCTAGTGACCACTAGCCTCCTTGCAGTTTCTTCAGCTCAGTATTATGGCTTGCTTTATAGCCAGGTGCAAACAATTTACACTTTAACAAGTAACTGAAGTGTTTTCTGTGCCTCATCTCATTTGATCCTCACAGAAGTCCTGGAGTAGATATATAGGAGACTCAGTAAAATCCTATTTTCTTTTCATTAGCTGGAGAACAGAGATTTAGAAAGCTTAGAAACATGACCTAACTGAAAAGAAGAAATTGTGGACCTTGAAAATGATTTCAGGTTTTCTCACTGTGCAAAATATAGTCAAGTACTGCTGCAGTTAAATATTTTATCCTTTGTTCTCCCTGCGTGATCTACAATCCCTACTTTGTGATAGTATTTACTCCTGTGTTGCTGACAATTACTTGAAAGAGAAGTTGGGGTGCTTCACTTGGCTGGAAAAAGTTTAGCTAAATCAGATAACTGGTCTCTCTTCCACCTGTTCTTATTTACTCCCCCTAAGCATTCAAAAGATAGTTAAAGATAGTCAATTTACTAATTAAATAAGTTTATCCTATCTAATAAAAGAGTAATATGCAAATTGACCATCACTCCAACACACAAGATGGCTGCCCCCATGTGGTTAAAGATGGCTGCTCTCATGTGAACACAAGATGGCCAGCAGGGGATGGCAATTGGGAGGGACCAGGCCTGCAAGGGAGAGCAGTGGAGTGGGGGAGGGAGACCCAGATCTGCAGGGGAGAGCAGTTGGTGGGGACCAGGCCTGCAGGGGAGGGAAGTTGGGAGGGACAAGGCTGGCAAGGGAGGGCAGTTAGGGGTGACCAGGTCCGCAGAGGAGGGAAGTTGGGGGCAAACAGGCTGGCAGGGGAGCAGTTAGGCATCAATTAAGCTGGCAGGGGAATGTTTAGGGGGTGATCATGTTGGCAGGCAGAAGTGGTTAGGGGGAATCAGGAAGGCAGGCAGGTGAGCAGTTGGGAGCCATCAGTCCTGTATTGTGAGAGTGATGTCTGACTGCTCTTTTAAGCCCTATCCTACTAGGATCCTGCCTAAAAGGGCTGTCGGACATTTCTCGAGGGGTTCCAGATTGGAGAGAGTTGCAGGCTCGGCTGGGGATCCTCCCCGTGCATGAATTTCATGCACTGGGCCTCTAATGTGTGTGTGTGTATGTTTTGTGTGTGTATAAAGCTCTTGCTGGTGCCATTGACATGCGTGTTTCCATCTGTCATTGTCAATGGTGAATTCGATTGACACTTCTATTATAGAGAAAGAGTGAATAGCAATATTAAAATATTTCTTCTAATTAATTTCTTTTCAATGTGCATGAATTTATGCACCAGGCCTCTAATAAATAGATAGATAGATAAAAATAGTACTAACATGTACCAAAAAGACAAAGTCCTACTATTATAACATTTACTTTAGTAATATTTTTAATTTAAATTTTACTTTTTAATTACAATTTACAATCAATATTTTATATTAGTTTCAGGTGTACTACATAGTGGTTATCTAATTATGTACTTTACACAGTGTTCCCCTCGATATTTCCCGTACCCACCTGGCACCATACATAGTTATGATATTATTGACTACTAGTATATTCCTTATGCTGTACTCTACATCTTTATGACTGTTTGTTACTACTCATTTCTACTTCTTAGTCCCTTCATTTTATTTTTGTCACCCCTTTTAACTTCTTTAAGTCTTTCAGAACTCATTCAGACTTAATGAACAACAAATACAGATATTTTTATTGCATTTTTAATATGAGAACCTGTGGTGCTTTGCTAGAAAGTATATGAAAAAGCTGATTGTAATAAAACAAATTTTTGTAATTGGTATTTGTTTTTTCAACCAAGGTTTGGGTGTAAAATATATTTTAAAAACAAAAATAAAACTAGGTTTTAATCATTATTTAAAATAAAGTATTAACTTAATAGATTTTATAAGGAGTTATGAATTTGTTCATTGAAACCTTCACTCTCTTCAGGTCTCCAGCTCTACCATCTCTGCCCTTCTTTTAGTATATGACCTCATTTCTAACATCAAAAAAGTATAAAAGCCGTCACAATGAGAACTCCTCCAGTTTTTTTGTTTTGTTTTTTTGCCTCTGAACCAACTTCTTTGCATCTATATTTATCCTTTTCTCTATCATCTTCCCATTACAGTGGAAGAAGTATTTCTCTTTCTAGACACTAATATCTCTTCAATGTTTCAGTCTTTGTTCTCTTAATCTTTTTCTCTGTCTTCTCTATCAGCAGCTTATTTTCTCTGGTTTCTTCCTGTCAGTACTTAATAAGTTTCTTCCATCTTCAAAAAACAAATAACTCTTTAACCTTGTGTGTTCTCCAGCTGCTGCTTTATTTTCTCCCCTTCAGAGAATTATCTACATTTATTGTTTCAATTTACTCATGCCCCATTCATTCCTTAGTCTTCTGCTATATAGACTCTGCTACTATATCACTACAACTATTTTAGCCTCGTCCACTATCCAATAGTGACTTAATCATTTCTAAATTCAGCAGACTCTTCATTTTCCCCCCAGCATACTCTTTTTAGTCCACCTTTTACTAGACCTCTAGGCAACTTTTAGTACTATTTGTGCCCTTTATGAAAAATTTTTTCTTGCTATTTTTTATATTTCTCCTCCGTTGGTCTCATTGGTCTCATCTACGCTCATGTTTTACATTACTATGTATATGCTGATTACAGAAACTTTTTAAAATTTTATTTTATTTTTTTAGCTTTAGATGTGTTTGTTTAGCTTGCCATCCTCATTTAGGTGTCTCACAGGTACCCTAACTCAACCTACCCAAAATGGAACAGTCATTGTCCTGTTTCCTCAAATCTTTTTCTCCTGCTATATTTTTTTCTCCAGTCCATGATATTGTCAATGACCTGTTGCCAGAGGCAGAACTTATCTGATTCCTCCATATTCCTTATTTCTAATATTCATTGACCAAATGCTTTTGGTTTTACTTTGCGTTGGTCCTGCTTGTTTACTTTCTATAGCAACCACCGTACTATAATAGCCACCATCATCTCTCACCTGAGAAATTTTAATACTATTTCTTTTAACTGGTCTCTCTACCTCCTGTTCTTATTTACTCCCACTAAGCATTCAAAAGACAGTTAAAGATTTTTTTTTTTCCAAGTAAAATATAATTATTCTCTGGTTAAAAATTTTCAGTGGAGTGCTTTCTGTTGTTTGTTAAGTAAAAAGACTTTTATGTTCTTCCTAATTATATCCCTAGCCTCATCTCCAGTTGTTTAGTATATCTGCTTTTTTCCTCAAATGCTTTTCTCTCCCCTCATAGGCCTTCACACTATTTCCCCTCTTAACTGACACACATACACTCTCTGGTTTGTACTTGCCCTATCATAGTATTTATTATTTTTTATTGTGGTAGATTAATTATTTACCTATCTGGTCTAGTAGATATAGAAAGCTTAAAAGAGAAAATTCCATTGTAACCCTGGTACCTACAGTTCTGAATATACAGCAACTGCTTAATAAACACAAATTGAGTGAATCTCTTTGAAGGTAATTTGAGGATGTGAGGATACCAACATACTTTAAATTATAACCATTTTGTACTTTAGTGATGCATTTGTTTTTTTAACCTACTAATATGTGAATGGGTATGAGTTTTAGAAAGCAAGTTTTCTTTTGTGTATGTGTATTGTACATAGAAAGGAAGTGTATCCTACCTAATAAAAGAGTAATATGCAAATTAACCATCGCTCCGCTCCACAAGCCACACCCACACAGCCAATCAGAGTGAGTATGCAAAATAACCCCAACCAAGATGGCTACAGCCACAGAGGCTTGGATTTCTCTGGCAATGGAAGAAGCCAAGCTTTCTGCCTGCTCTAGCCGATCTAAGCCTCCACTCCAGGCTACAAAGTTTCAGTTACAGAAAATATATTACACCCAACAGAAATGGCTAGGACACAGAGCGAGCATGGGGCTTGGCTCCACTCCAGACTACAAAGTTTCAATTGTAGAAAGTAAATATATCCCAGATACTAGGGCCTCCGCTTGGATTGCTGGGGGGTGTGGCTAACCTGAAAACCACCATAGACCCTTCACACACTCTTCACACAGGCTGCCTCATGTCCCAAGGGAACTCCCACCCTGATCCAGGACACCCTTCACGGCAAACCAGCTGGCCCCCACCTGTGCACCAGGTCTCTATCCTATCTAATAAAAGAGTAATATGCAGATTGACCATCACTCCAATATACAATATGGCTGCCCCCATGTGGTCAAAGATCCTGCCCCCATATGCACACAAGATGGCCACCACAAGATGGCCAGCAAGGGAGGGCAGTTGGGAGGAACCAGGCCTGCAAGGGAGGGCAGTTGGGGGCAATCAAGCTTTCAGGGGAGGGCAGTTAGGGGTTACCAGGCTGGCAGAGGAGGGAAGTTGGGGGCAAACGGGCTGGCAGGGGTACAGTTAGACATCAATCAGACTGGCATGGGAGTGGTTAGGGGTGATCAGTCTGGCAGGCAGAAGTGGTTAGGGGCAATCAGGAAGGCAGGCAGGCGAGCAGTTAGTTGGGAGCCATCAGTCCTGGATTGTGAGAGGGATCCCAGATTGGAGAGGGTGCAGGCTGGGCTGTGGGATAACTGCTCCCCCCCCCCCCCCGCCCCGTGCACAAATTTTATGCACTGGGCCCTAGTACATAAATAAGAGCCGAAAAAAACCTACTATTGGAAATCAGAAACTCCATTGTCTTCTGTGGACAAATCTTATGTTCCTTTGAATCTAACTTCCCTCTTCAAATAATGGGATTGGACTAGATTGTCTAAAAACATATCTCTTGTATGACACTCCATATATATATATGAGAGGCATTAAATGTATAACTATGTAATTTTTATTTATTTTTTTATTGAAATGCATACAAATTTTTACTTATCTGCATATTAAAATAACTTTGTTTTTGCAGGAAAGATGATAAAGACTATGCTTTAAAACAAATAGAAGGAACCGGAATCTCTATGTCAGCATGTAGAGAAATAGCAGTAAGTGGAGCTCTTTTTATCATCATTATTACCAACTGTCTTAGAAGGTCTATTATGTATTGTGATTGTCATATATACACATTAATTGAAAATTAGTAAATATTTTCATATCAACTATATGTAGAAGAATATATTCATTATGTAGAGGTGTCATGTAAATCTAACAAATATTTCTATGTAAATTTATTTTATTGGTATTAAATCAATCTCTGTTATCTATATAAATATATATATTTTTCAATAAAAATCACTAAATAGTTAAGGGTTTAGTTCTTATTATTTTATCTAATATAATAAATGTCATATGTTAATTCATATAAAATTAACATTTCTATTTTAATGATGTTGTTACTTATGTGACCTTAAAATGAGATTGTGTTGTTTGATTTTCATAGTATCTGTCTTTTTATATAAACATATATGCCTTTTTCTTTTGGGAGCATAGGTTTCCATATGGTACTAGAATCTCATTTTGATTTCAAAGGAAAATATTCTTCATGTTAATCCACTACTGACTAACTAGTCATACAATTAAATTAAGTATTACTTTCATGAGATTTTCAGTTTTTAATATTGTAAAACTGTGGGTCCAAATGTATTTCTTTCTGGCTTTAAAAATAATTTTACTCATTTAACAAATTCTATACCATAAGAATTTTAACTAACAGTCATTTATTGTGTATCATGTTGACAGGAACTAGATTAGGTAAAAGTAAAGAAACGGAATAAGAGTCTATAAAGGTATGCCGGTTTGGAAATCATATTTTATTTAATTGATACATTTTTCATAATTTTGAATCTTGAGGCAAATCTGTACATTAACTGTCAGTTCTTCAACACCTACTATTATAGTCAGTTTAAAGGATTAAAATCCATTGAACTATGGTAGTGACGTCAGAAGTCATGATAGTGATTACTTTTGGAGGAGACGGAATGGCATGGATGGGGACAAGGTAGTTTTCAGAATGCTAGTAATGTTCTATTTCTTGATCTTACTCTGAGTCTTATATAAGCCCGTGTTAGCCTTTGAGTTTGACATGCTTTGCTGTACTGTCTTTGTCTTTGCCTTTGGTATCTGGATTATAGTGTCCTCATGAAAAAAGTTAGGGACCATTTTTTCATCCTCTATTTTCTGACAGTTTCTATATGATTTGGTTTTCAAACAATCATTTCCCCAACATCCTTCTGGAATGAAGTGAGTTTGAGAACCAAGACTCCATTTATATAGGGATTTGCCTTACTCTTCTATATTATATACTTCTGTAAAAAGCCTATATAATAAAGAGGTAATATACAAATTGACCATCATGCCCTTCCACAAGATGGCTGCCCCCATGTGGTAACAAGATGGCTGCCATAAGATGGCTGGCAGGGGAGGGTAGTTGTGGGTGATCAGGCCAGCAGGGGAGGGCAGTTGGGAGCAATTGGGCTGGCAGGATAGCAGTTAGGTGTTGATCAGACTGGCAGGCTAGTGGTTAGGGGGTGATCAGGCGGGCAGGCAGAAGTGGTTAGGGCAGTCAGGAAGGCAGGCAGGTGAGCAGTTGGGAGCCAGCAGTCCCGGATTATGAGAGGAATGTCCCAGATTGGAGAAGGCCTCTAATTTCCATAATAAAAAAAAGAGAAAGAAAATCCCATCTTCTCTGCCAAATTTTATCAGACCTTTCTCCCTTCCATGTATGAAATCTTCATCTGAGAAGCCTGTTTTCCCACCACTTACCTTCATTATTCTTTTACTTGAGGCCCAATGCATGAAATTTGAGCACTGGTAGGGTCCTTGGTGGCTAAAGGCTGGGTACTCCCTTCTTTTCCCCGGCTGCCCACCCCCACGGCTGGCCAGGGCCTTTCTCCCGTCCCCTGGCCTGCCCACCCCCTGGTCGAATTCCTGCAAGAACTCTGGTTTAGGGGACAATTTGCATACTATGCTTTTATTATATAGGATAATCTTTACCCTATTTCCTTTCTTTATAGCACTTATTACAAGTTATAAGGATTTTCTTTTTATTTGTTTACTTATTTTCTACTTGGTCTTACCTCCACTACACTTACTATAAGACATTTCTTTACTATGTGTACTAGGTTTGACACGTAGTCTTTGCTCATTAAGTAATTCTAAAAGAAGGGAGAAAGGAAAGAACTCTGAGAATTTCTACTAAAGTTAAGAGCATTGCATATCTTCATCCTCACTGTATTGTAAATGGTTTGTTTTGTGTTTCCAAAATTTCCTGTGAGCTGGAATTCTTAGCATACTGGTTTTCAAACTGCTTTAGTGGGTCCTCCTTATTCCCAGAGGATGCCTTGTAATTGGGAGAGGGAAGCTTAGGGGAACAGAGGTAAAGACTTTATTTTTAAAGCCCACAATACACTTTAACCTGAGCACCTCAGTTTCTAAAATTACTATGCAAGAATTCTATTGAAGAAAAGGATCCACAGCTTTTCAAAATATTAAAATAAATTTTGGAATAGTTCTCTATATTCTTTCATAGTAATTTTAATTCAACCATACTTATGGCATAAATTTAGACTTTATTATTTTTGTTTTGCTTTAAAATTTTTAAAATTAAAAGTTATTTTGAGATTATTACAGGTTTTCTTAACCTATTTTCTATTTTACAGCACAATTGGAATGAATTAAGTTTATTATAAAGGATGTAATAAAGCATTTATATTTTTAGCAGTGATCTTAGTATTAAGGAAATGATAAGATTTTATTCCCAGTAGAATCAGAAAAACTTAGATGGTTTCTATAATGGGAACCATTGTATATAGTTATTTAAACCTTTTTATTTAAATAGTTTTGACAAAATCTTCTAAGGGGCAAAAAAATAATGTACAAAATGTTAAGAAATAGGCATTTCTATATCGGGGACTCTGTGGGGTGAAGAAATGCTGAAGTTGTATTTATCAGATATGTGGAATGCTCTGACAATCTCAGAGCATCAATTTTACAATATTGTAGGTAGTGGTTAAGACCCTAGTTAGATTACCTGAGGTCTTATTCTAGCTTTACCTGTTAACTATCTTGAAGGGCCCAAAGCAACTTACTTAATTTCCCTGTTTTAGTTTTGTCATTTGTAAGATAGGACTTACAATAGTATCTTATAGGGTTATGATGAGGAGTCTAGGCACTTTTTCGAACATAGTAATTCATTTATTCATATATTTATATATGTACCATTACTTAATATGTGCCTACCAGGTGCCAAGCAGTGTGTTAGAAGCTAGTAGGGCAATGTCCAGCAAGACACAGTGCCTGCCACTGTTCATTTCATAACCTAGTATATATTTAAACCTTTTTTGTGTAGATTGTAAAAGGAACTAGGCCCCCAGGGTATTAAGTTTCGGGAGGTATTGGTTGGTATTGGCCATGGAGTATTGGCTTTGTATTTTAAAAGTTAATTAATTTTTAAAGCATTTAAATCTTGATTCTAACCATTACCTAGGAATATGATCTTGAACAAATTATTTAATCCGCTATTTCCTCATTTGTAAAATAAAAGTACTGTAATCCCCCCTTATCCACGGGGGATATGTTCTCCTTCTGGGTGTCTAAAACAAGTAGGTAGCACTGAGCCCTACATACTTTTCGTTGACCCTTAAACAACATGGGGTTTAGGGCACTGAAGCTGCCCACCCTCTGTCCTGCACAGTTGAAAATATGAGCTTTATTTATTTACTTTATTGATTGAGAAAAGGAAAGAGAATCGGTGATTCATTGTTCCACTTATTTATGCATTCATTAGTGGATTCTTGTACGCGCCCTGACTAGGGATTAAACCCACAACCCTGGCATATAGGAACAACACTAGCCAACTAAGCCACTGGCCAGGGCCCAAGCATAACTTTTGACTTTCCAGAAACTTAACTAAGCCTACTGTTTACCAGAAGCCTTAAGAATAACATAAATACTAGATTAATACATATTTTAACATATGTATTATATAATGTATTCTTAAAATAAAGAAAACGAAATGTATTAACAAAATCATAAGGACCCTGACGTGATTCAGTGGTTGAGTGTCAACCTAAGAACCAGGAAGTCATGGTTTGATTCCCAGTCAGGGTGTATGCCTGAGTTGTGGGCTTGATTCTCAGTGTGAAGCATGCAGAAGGCAAATGATTCTCTCTCGTCACCGATGTTTTTGTCTCCCCCGACCTTCCTCTCTGGGAAGAGAATATACTTATGGCATTAATTGAAAAAAATCTATGTATAAATGGACCTGTGCAATTCAAACCCATGTTGTTTGAGGGTCAGTTCTGTTTTTTCCTATATATAGCTACCCAGGATAAGTTTTAATTTACAAATTAAGCACAATAAGAGATAAACAATAATAACTAATAGTAAACTTGAACAACTATGACAATATACTGTAATAAAAGGTAGGTAAATGGCTTTGGGGTTCATTATTTAGTAACCTTGGTAAAACAAAGGTTCCTTGAACACAGGCATGGTGATACCATGAAAATGAATCTAATAACTAAGACAGTTACTAAGTGACTAATGGGTGGGTAGTGTATGCAGTGTGGATATGCTGGACAAGGGGGATGATTCATATCCGGGACTAGATGGCATGAGATTTCATCATGCTACTTAGATTGGCACCCAGTTATTTCTGGAATTTTCAACTTAATATTTTTAGACCATAGTGGATGGTTGGTTATCTGAAACTATAGAAAGTAAAATTGTAATATAAATACATATTTCATAGGTTAATTCATGATTCAAATAATGTATGTTATATACTTAGCACCAAACTTGGCTGCTTGGAAGAGCTTAATAAAATGGTTGCTATTTAAAAAAAAAAATTAAATACAGGAACTAAACCTTATCTTGGAGGTGAAATTGAAGCAATATCTAAAAATAGCTGTATATGTAGGTTTCTAATAATTGGAGAGAACTTTTGCCAGAGCTTTGGAATTTGTTTGTGTTAATTTCCACTCTGCCAGTTTCCAGAAAGGACTTGAAATAGCTGCCTAGCCAAGAAGTGTGAGGTAATGGAGAA